CCTTGGAAGTCCATGGTTCCCAGCTTAAGGACCCCTTATCTAGTCTTAATAGTCATCTCTGACCCTATGGCCTTAAGCTGTGGGAGAACTCCCAAAGACCAGAGAAGTCTGGTTGGTCCAAGACAGAGGGATGCACTCACTGACCTACAGGAGTCTGCTCTTGCTCCAAGCATCTCTTATTTCTTCCCCCCTCCCCTCCCAAAAAAAGAAATGCCCTCCAAGCCCATTCCTTCCCTCTCCGCCCACACAGGGATGTGAATGACTAGGGGATGAAAGCATATTAAGGCATTTCTTTAAACTTGTTTGTTTATGGAAAGAAGTTTCAAGCCAGCCGCTGAAAACCTGCATTTTACGGGTAATTTTTCAATTTATTTCACACTGGTATTAAAAAGAGAAAAAAAAACACCATCCATTATTCCAAGGAGGGATTGTGTGGGGGGCGGGGTAGGGAGCGTTGACTGGTTTGAAGCAGTTCTCTTGCCCAGATCAAACTTTCTGGAGACAAGTTGAAGTATTGTCTCTAGGGAAGACCAAATGAGGTGAAAAAATGAGAACAGAATGGCCAGAGAGAGAATTAGAATAAAGAAGGGAGAGTAGAAAGAAAAAGAGGGGGGAAATCTAAGAACATTAGGTCCAGAAGGTCCATAAGAGTATAGAATGTGGAGTGTTAGATCTGATGCCGAATCTAAGAGTTGGAAGGGCCATGTAGTCCAACTCACACCTAACCAAGAATTCCTTCTCCAACATATCCAACAAGTGGTCATCCCTCTTCAGGGAGGGAGAACTTACCACCTCCATTCCACTTTTGGAGAGCTTTGACTCTTAGCAAGTTTTTCCATACATCAAGCCTAAATCTGCACCTTTGTAACTTTGATCTCCTGCTTCTGCTTTTGCCCACTAGTGCCAAACAAGGAAAAGCCAAATACTTCTAGAGCCTTTCAGATTTTTAATGACAGCCATCATGTTCGTCTTATCTAGGATAACCACCTCCATTGCCTTCAGCTGCTCTTGGATTGGCATGGATCTGAGGCCCCTCATCATTCTCTGTCCTCCCTGATCCAGCTCTCCATTCACCAATGTCCTTTGTAAAGTGTGGCACCCAGGACTGAACAGAATTCCAGATATAGTCAGACGGGGATGGTGTCAGAGGCTTAAATGTCTCTCCATTTTAACAGATAGGGAAACTGAGACCCAGAAAAGTGAAATGATTTGGCTCTTGTCACACAGCTAGCAAGTGATAGATCTGGTCCTTAGATGGGTCTACTAACTATCAACTGCCAATGCCCTCCTCATTCTGGACACTATGCTTCTCTTAATATAGCCTAAAATGGCATTAGCTCTTTTTTGACTGCCAGGTCATACCATCTAGCCTGAAATTTGTTAAAATCCCCAGATGATGTTCACATCAACTGTCGTCTTCTCTATCTATACCTTGCTTATTTTGTACTTGTGCACTTGACTTTTTGATCCCGAGGACAACACTTTACATTTATCTCAATTAAATTTCATTTAATTAGATTTGGGCCATCATTCTAGCCTTTTTTGGATGCCGACTCATCCAGTTTGTGAAAAGAGAGAATGTTATAACTGGGAAGGCCTTTCAAGACCATCTCATTTTACAGATGAAGAAATTGAGACCAAGAGAAGACAAGCTGGTGTCACATGAGGAGTCATTGTAGTCACACCTAGAGCTCAGGTCTCCAAACTCCCATTTCTGGGTTCTCTCCATTGCATTGAACGTCTTTCTTTTCACCTCAGGATGAAGAAAACATGTTTCTTTAAATTGCCTCCAAACACAATTTTCCTCCAGAGGCTGACTTTGGCTGTTTTTCTCTTCTTCAGCAAATACTTGAACTCACTACCTCACAGAATCATAGATTCTGGAACTGGAAATCTCTTTAGACAAATGAGAAATATTTATCCCCATTTTGTAGATGAGGCAACTGAGACCCAGAAAAGTTAGTGGACTTGGCCAAGGTCATAGAGAGTTAGTAGTAGAGGAGAAATACAAGTCCAGTCTCCTGCCTCCTATTCAATTGCTGTTTCCACTATCTCACACTGCCTGCCACTTTTTCAGAAACTGTGACCCAACCCCCTCCTTTTTTTGTTTTTGTTTTTTATTTTGTGATACCACTCTCATTACTAGCTACATGGCATTAAGCAAGCCTCAGTTTCCTCATATGTCAAAGGAAGATAACAATTGCTTTCCTGACTACCTTACAGAGCTTATTTAAGGATCAAATGAGATAATGTAATTTGCCAGACACAGCCACAAGTTCTGAATCTTTATAAAAATGGGGGCTGTTATTCTATTTTTATTATGATTATTATTCTCCTTGAAGTGTTGCTTGACATGTATCCAGTTAGAAAATTAAATTTGAGGCTCCAGTTTCTACCTCAGAAAATAAGTGTTGAACTTCATGATTGCTAAGGTCTTCAAGCTGGAATATTCTGTGTTCTGTATTCTAAGGCCTCTTTCACCTCTGATATTCCATATTCTGTAATCTAAAGTTCCTTCTAGCTTTAACATTCCAACATTAGAATGTGTAATAATTTTAGTCTGTAGAAATCATAGAAAATTAGACTTCAGAAAGAACTTAGGACATAGAACATACAATTTTAGAGCTGTAAAGAGCCTTAGAACATAAAATGTTGCCCTTTCTGTTATCTTGGCCACTAGGGAGGCTGAGTGGATCCCTGGAGCTCCAGAGTTCTGAGCTGCAGTGGGCTCAGGTGTCTGTACTAAGTCTAGCATCAAAATGATGAGTCCTTTTGGGGGTGGGTGCACCAGGCTGCCTAAAGAGGGATGAACCGGTCCAAGTCAGAAATAGAGCAGCTCTAAGCTCCCGGGCTGATCAGTAGTGGGACTGGGCCAGAGAGGGAGACATGGTCTTTAAAGAGAGAGGGACAGAAAGGAAGAAGAGAGGAGAGGAGAGGAAACAAGAGGGGGGTAATGAGGGGAAGAGAGGGAGGCACAGCAGGAGAGAAAGTGACAGAGACAGACCGAGGGACAGAGACAGACAGAAAAGAAGAGAGGAGAGGAAAGGAGAGGGAAAGAGAGAGGAAGAGAAGGGGGAGAGAGAGAGAGAGAAAGAGAAAGAGAGAAAGAGAGAAGAGAGAGAGAGAGAGAGAGAGAGAGAGAGAGAGAGAGAGAGAGAGAGAGAGAGAGAGAGAAACAGAACATTAGACTATAGAATCAGAGAGTGGGACTTCTCCTGACTGCACCTGCATTATCTATTGTGTTCTGGAGGAGCTTCTTCCTTGACAGTGGGATCCTTACTATTGTAGACTTGTTGACAGTGGCAATGTCAGAAGCTTAGACACTTCCACATTTTGTAAACTTGCCTAAAGTTATGGAGCTAAGAAGAAACAGGACCAGGACTGGATAATAGTATCATAGATCTGGAGCTGGAAAGGACCTTACAAATCATTTAGCTCTACTCCCTCATTTTATAGATGAGAACACTGAGGCCCAGAGAGGTTAAGAGACATGCTCAAGATCACACAGGTCCCGTGACACTTATCACTATGCTACTGTGACTAGAACCTTGGTGGCTTTGCAGTCCAGTTACTTGTCAAAGAAGACAACTTCCTGTCCTGGGTGAAGCTCTGGTGATCTCCTGGGCATCAGCTGGGTTACTGAACAGTAAGTTGGATAAGCCAGAATCTGACTCTTAATAAAAAAGAAATGAATAAAGAAAATAAGACCCTCTGGAGATATGGTTGGAAAAGACAAATGCCAGGTTGGCAGGGATCACAGACTGATTCACAATGGTCTGAGAGAAGCTACTGTGGTGGAGTCTGCCATTTTGTTCCCTCTGCTCCACTTGGGTCCTCCATCTTGAGACCAGAGTACCTCTCCAGGCAATGTGGGGCTAGGAAGCCCAAATGGCTTTCTTCATCCTTCCTCATAATGAGAAAGGGGTAGGCAGAGGGACAGTTAGAGAGACAAGGACACACACACACACACACACACACACACACACACACACAGAGCAGATGCATGGAGGGACACCCTGCAAAGAAAAATTGAGATACAGATGCAGAGATACAGATGAACATAAAAGGCAGGAAGGCTAAAAGAGAGACAGATATATGCAAAGTAAAACAGATATAGATGGAGGAGATAGATGCACAGAGTAAGACAGAGACAAATGGACAGAGGGATGGAAAAGCAGGAGAGAAGCAGAAATAGAAACAGACAGGTGGGAGAGGACCTGAGAAAGAGAAACAGACCAAGGATAGACAAATGAGAGACAGATAGAGAAAGACATAGGCACAGAACCAGAGAGATAGGGACAAGCAGACTGAGAACTAGACAGAGATAAGCAGAGAAAGATGGGGGGAAACACAGAGAGGGGAGAAGCCTACCCAAAAAACAGAGCATTGGACTGGGCATCAGATCTAAGCATGGGTCCTAGCTCTGTCACAAGCCTTTTGTGGGACTTTGGGAAAGTCATTTCCTCCCTCCACATATTGATTCCTCCTCTGTCAAAATTAGGTGTGTAGGGGTTGCGAAGGGGAGGATAATCAAATGGTCTATGAGATTGAGACAGAAGAGACAGATGAGCTGACAATAGGAGAGAGAGAGAAGAGAAGAGAGACAGAGACAGAGAGAAGAGGGAGAGAGAGAAGAGGGAGACAGAAAGAGATAGAGAGGAGAGAGAGACAGAGAGGGAGACAGAAAGAGGTAGAGAGGAGAGAGAGACAGAGAGGGAGACAGAAAGAGATAGAGAGGAGAGAGAGACAGAGAGGGAGACAGAAAGAGATAGAGAGGAGAGAGAGACAGAGAGGGAGAGACAGAGACAGAGGGAGAGGAGGGAAGGGGGAGGGAGGGAGGGAGGGAGGACTCACAGCTAGACTGTGACTAACAGACACAAACTGCTTTGGGGCCAAGGCGCGGGAGCTGGGGAGGAGACTCTCCTAATTCAGTTGAGAGAGAGTTAAATCCCCAATTCCTTGACTCCACCCCATCATTTGAGTTCAGTGGTCTCCTTACACTCCTACTGTTAACCTGGCTCCCGCCTCAGGCGGGCAGGCAGCAGGACGGGGGGCTCAGGCCAAGCCTGACTGAAGAGCAGCCAACAGCAGCCAGTCTGCTCCCAGGTTTGCCCTCCTGAGGGGTGGCTGGGAGCCGGGTGGGTGGCTCAGCTTCTCCCCTTGGGAAGTGGACTGGAGGAAGGCTTGGCTTATAAAGGCAGGGGATGTGGAGAGCAGGCTGACCATAGCCTTTCTCCGGCCCTCCAGGCCATGCCTCCCAGAGGCGCTTGATAGCCAGCTGCGTGTGGCCACCCCGCCCTCCATGCCACCTTGAGCTCTGGGTCCCTTCAGAGTCCCCTCCACAGTCAGACTAGCCCTCTGGTGCTGAGGGCATGGTGAGAGCCCCCTTGGTGAGCCACTCACATTAGAGCCCCCTTTTCTGCTGCCACCTCTCCCTCCCTCTGGCCCTCTGTTGGCATCTGGCAAGAGTCCTCCCCTCTTCCACCCGCCGACTGGATGATCTGACTCTTCCCCTGCCCACCACGATTGCTGTCCAGATGCCCTGGATCCTGCTCATACTGCTGCTATTCGGGGACGCTGTGGAAATGTTCGCCCTAAACCACAGCAAGAAACAAGGTATGGTCCCTGGTCTCGGGGACAACTGGGAAGGGGATCCAAGACCCGTTCTCTCTTTTCACATCCTTACTCCTTCCCTCACCTCAACCCTCCCCATCCCTTCCCCCAACCCATCAGGGAAACATGGAACACAAATTTGCTGAAGACTGTCTGCCATAAGCAGGGCCAGGGTCAAGGGAGCTGGTCCCCAGCATCCAGCAAAAGAGATAAGCAGGGTAACTCTAGAGAGAGAGTCCTAAATCGGGAGTTAGGAGCCTGGACTCTTGTACCAGGTTGGCTGCTAATTCACTGTGTGATCTTGGGTGAGTACTTCCCCCTCTCTGGGCCTTAATTTTCTCATATGGAAAAGGAGGGAGTTGTACTAAACCAGATCTTTAAGGACCCTTCCAGCTCTAACATTCTGTGTTCTAAGGTTCCTTATGACACTTACATTCTATGTTCTAAGGGCTCTTCTAGCTCTGATATTCTGTGTTCTAAGGTTCTTTATGACATCGACATTCTAAGATCCCTTCAAGCTCTGACATTCTATGTTCTGTGCATATGGATTCTAAATATTGTAGATGAGTTGGAGGAAAATGGTCAGTAATAATCCTTCACATTTGTATAACACTTTGTGTTTATAAAATATTCTTAAATTCATCATTCTCTTTACTTTTCCTGAGATGGACAAGACAGGGACATTGTTTCTATTTTATAGAAGAAAAACTAAGGCCTGAAGAGGGGAAGTGGCTAAGATCACTTTTATGTCCATAAAATAGTGGAGCCTGGTCTGGAACCCGGGTTTTCTGAGTCCACATTCAGCACTCTTTCTACTGTGTTGGCTGGGCTGAACTGAGTATAGGTAACTGGGACAAGAGAGTGTATATAGATTACTGACTTCAAGAATGGCTGTTGAAAGAAATGAGGAACGTGGTTCCTTTTTTGTTTTTTCTATCTGAGAATCTGTGGAGGGATAGAGTTGCCAAGGTGCCAGGAACAGGAGAAAATGCTTGGTGTGTCTGACCTTAATTAGAATCAGGTGTGGAAGGTTGGACAGATATATAAGGTACCATTATGTATAATATGTCAGCCTTATTTCAAGCAAACAGATCAAAGGATTGTGAAGCTGCTGCATCACAAGTGCCTGTCACATAGGGGTGGAAGATTAATTAATGTATTATAACACAACACCATTGTGTAATATAAAGTGTATTGGCACTTACAGTCAAGATCATTTACGAAGCTAGACCTAGATTCAATCACCCTCTGCTATCTACTCACTGGGTGACTGGTGAAGTCAGAGGGCCATAGATTTGACGCTAGAAAGGGCTTCAGAGATCAGCTAGTTCAAGGGTTTTTTTTTTATGTTATAGAGGAGGCCCGTCAAGGTTAAATGACTTGCCCAAAGTCATGCTGGTAATAAGTAGCAGGGCTGGGATTTGAACCCAGGTTTTCCTGATACCAGAGTCAGCACTCTTTCCACTAGGCCTTCAGATCTCTGAGCCTGTTTCTTCAATCTCTGCAATGTGGGTAACAATCCTAGCATTGTCTCCTCACGGGGTTGATGTGAGAAAATTGAACTGGAATTTTAAAAGTATTTATAGAAATGAAAGGGAATATTAATAATGACTAAGCACCTGTTATACATGAAGTATCACGGGAGTTGTCTTTCTCATGACTTTATCTGATGAACAAGACAAAGTATATATGATCCCTAACACTCAAGAAATAGTCATGAACCACCCAAAGACATGTATGAGCCATACTCAACAGCTCCTGGTACATAGTAGGTCCTTAGCAAATGCTTGTTGCTGTCTTCTCTTGTGGACTTTGCAGGATCACAGAAACTGAGTAGAGAGAGTGGTCACTGGGGAAGAGGGTGGTCAGGGAAAACTTCCTGGAGATGAGGTGTAAGCTGTGCCTTGAGAGAATGCGATCAAAGGATCATGGATTAGAACTGCAAGGTACCTCAGAGGCCATCAGTTCTAACCTTTTTATTTTACAGATGAGGAAACTGAGGCCCAGAGAGGTCAGGTAACTTGCCCGAAGTCACACAGGTAGCAACTGATAGACACAAGCTCTAAAACCAGGTCTGTGATGGTGATTTGACTCCAAACCCAATTTTGCTCTTTTCCACTGTATTATGCTGTAGCTTTAGCCTTGGACTTGGAGTCAGAAGACTTGGGTTTATGTCCTGGTTGTGACACTTACCAGCAGTGTAACCTTGGGCAAGTCACCATTCTTCTTCAAGCCCAGTTTACTCTTTGTAAAATAATACATGCACTACCCACTGTGCAAGACTTGTGAAAAAATGGAGTCTATAGGCCTTAGTGCGCTATAGAAATGGCAGTACTCATCATCAGAGAGATGGAATAGGGAGGGAGAGAAGAAGGGATAGATCAAGGTGGACTGGAACTTTAGCACTTTTAGTTTTATGAAGTACTAGGGATTACCTCATCCTTTGGACATGTGTCCCCAGAGCCTAGCACGGTTCCTGGAAAACAGCAAGCAAAAACTGGTTGATTAATTTCCTCAGATAGCCTTGCAAGGGAGGTAATGGAATAGGATTATTCCAATGACAGAGAAGCCATCCACTGGGTGTTGTACATAAGAAAGACTGTCAGGAGATCTGTCTGCAGCAAAGGGTATGTTTTGAACAGGAGATGAGGCTTGTAGGTTAGAACCAAACAGGCCCAAGTCTGGAATTGTATGTCTATATATGTCTATATAATGTGGAATATGCAGCCTACAGAAGGCAAGGGTATTACAAGTGATGGCAAATCAGGCTGGTGTTACAACTGAAAACTTTACATGGCCCAGGGGACAGAGCCAGGGACTGAGAGACAGGAGACCTGCATTTTAGTTCTGTCTCTATCACTGACTTGTGCAACCTTGAACAAGTCATTTTTCCTCTTCATCTCCATTTGCCCATCTGTAAAATGAAGAGGATGCACTGGATTATCTCTAAGATTCTTTCCAGCTCCAATGTTCCACGTTCTAAGATCTCTTTTACCTCTGAAATATAACAAGAATTAAAGAATTCTAATTCCACTTCCCTTAGAGTTGCGTAGGGATTATGGCATGATCAATATTTCTTTTCTCATCTTTTGGAAGGGAGAGTTAAGCTATCTCTCATTTAACTGGCATATCATCCCCAAGAATGTTTCAAGAATCCCCTACACACACACACACACACACACACACACACACACACACACACACACACACACACAAATACACAGAGTACCCAGATTCCACTAGTCCTAAGGAAGGAAGGAAGAAAACAAGTATTTTTAAGCATCTACTATGTGCCAGGCACTGTGCTAAGCACTTTTACAAATGTTAAGTCATTTTATCCTCACAACAACCCTAAGGGGTAGGTACTATTATTATCCCATTTTATAGAAATGGAAAACTGAGGCACACAGAGGTTAAATGACCTGCCCAGGGTCACATAGCTGGTAGGTGTCTGAAGCCAGATTTGAGCTTAGATCTTCCCAACTAGAGATCCAGCAAGAGCTCTATCCACTGAACCACCTAGCTACCTCTAACAAAAGGATTTTGTTGAGGAGGGAACTCATCACGGATGTTACTTCCCCTAAGTTTTATGGCCTGGTCATCGGATGGAATGGCAAAGCTAGAAGAGACCTTCAGATCACAGGACCTAAGTCTATGAGAATTCTTAGTTGTCATCTAGCTCAAACTTTCCATTTAATAGCTGAGGAAATGGACACCCAGAAGAGCAGAGTTGGTGCTATAAATCCAGACTCTCTGACCCCAAACCCAGTACCCTTTCTCCTATACCATGTCAGTATCATCTAACCCTAGCCCCCTTTTTGTCACCGTGCATAAACTGTGGCATACAGAGGTTCAGTTACTAGCTGACATTCATGTAGCTAAGTTAGTAGTAGCATTCGAACTTGAATACAGGTCTCCTGACTCTGAATCCAGGGCTTTCTACACTCTCTCCTTCCCCCCTTCCCTTCATCACACAGGCATCAGCCCCCAAAATGTCACTGTGGTTCGATCTGGTCAGAACCCAACCTGAATTCGGAAGAAATGACTCGTATGTGCCTTATGCAAGAGACTAGGATGATTCCAAGCCCATACCCATAGAAGCCTCCTGGGTCCCTGGTCCCGGGTCAGACGTGAGACTCCTCGGCTCAGGAGTCATTAGTAGCTGGCAAAATGCAATTTTCTGTTTCGAAGACAAAAAGACTTGAGAAAGGCTGCTTGGAACTCAAGTGTCTCTTACAAAACAACATTTTGATGACTTAAGTGTGAGTTAATGAGAAGCAGATGGATCCATTTCCCTTGAAATATGCTGGGGCTTCCCAGGGATGGGAAGTCAGGCCTGGGTGTAAAATGGGGTCTTGTTTGCTTTCGAACCTGATTGTTTGAAGGCTAATTGAGGGGACTGGAAGAGCCCCAGCTGGGGTTTCCCCCCAAGCCCTGGGGCAGAGCCAACACTGTCACAAGGGAATAGGATCTGGGAAAGGGGATTTGGCGGTGATTGGAGTGGTCCTCCCGAGTCGGTCGATTTGAAATGCTCCAGAGGGTTTCCGAATCTCATCACACATCCCGCCATGGCCCTGTAGGGTAGGAAAGAAAAGGAATCACGCTCTAGGGATAGGAAATGACTTGCCTAAGGTCACATGAGTGAATTACTTGGCAGAGCCCAGAATAAACACCTAGGTTTCCTGACTCCTAGTCAGGTTGGGGACCAGAAGCCATAAATCATCAGATCATAAAACTTAAATCTGGAATAGAGATTATAGGCCATCGAGTCCAAACCCTTTATTTTATAGATGAAGAAAATGAAACAGAAAAGGCGAAATGACTTGCCTAGGGTCATATAGCTGAGAAGCTGTCTGAGGTGGCATTTGATACTGAATCTTCCCAACTCCAGTGTATTCATGATTCCATATGCCTAAAGTCACAGGGGCAGTAAGAGATCTGACTTAGGAACCCAGGGTTTCTGACAAAAGATCTAATGCTCTTTCCAATATACCACACTGACT